CTCGTCAAAATGACCAAATCGAAGTAATTGGCTTTTATCTGGAAGAGGTGAACTGACCGATGTGAGTTGCGTATTCCTTTCTGTTTGTCGCTGTTGTTTGTTTGTTTGCTTGTTTTTGTTTTGTTTTTGGGCAGGCTGGGTATAATTTCATTGTTGTTCTGTGGTTTCTGATTTTGTTTGCTTCTTTAATCTTTTGGTTGTTTTTTTGTTTTTCTTCTATTCGGTTTTTTTTTTAAGGGGTTGGATCGGAGGTATATGCGTTGTTACTGTTGTCAGCCTAGATATTTTTCCAACGAGTAGAGAACGGTGTAAAACAGAAAGCACAAACACGAGAGTACGCACCTCGCTGCGGTGTCCCCTGAGGTTGAAGTTGGACCTGGGCGGGGCCTCGTACTTGTGGCAGTGGCTGGTGCTGAAGGTGACGCCCACCACGCCGCGCGCGTTGCCGCTGGCCAGCCAGCCCTCCACGTAGTACTGCGAGTGCTCCAGCTTCCAGCCACGCCCCTCCTCCGGCAGGTCCTCGGGCACCTTGCCCATCCATGACAGCGAGAGGAAGTTCGAGTCCGTCCTCGTGCACGTGTTCTGTTCGAAATGCACGTGCATCGTGGCGCCAGGGTTCTTGGGGTTCGGCCCTAAAAAGAACTCCCTCGACGACGGCTAGGCTCCCGTCAAGTCAGCAGGCCGCGGCAAGTGGCGCGCGCTTTGAATACGCAGCCGTTAGGATGGGTCGTCGATATCAAGAGCGTACAATTCGTTGCATGTCTCTTCAGTATAGTATAGTTGCCGTCAAGCAAAAAAACCTGCTATCAAAATGAAAGTCTGACTACATGGTGTCACTGAGGGTTAGTTATGGCGTGATATTATTAGCATATAAAGCAAAAACATCATGGCCTGTACACAGCTGTCCACCAGAGAGAAAAAAAAACTAATCCAGAACAAGAATGTCGTTGTCCTCTTTTCCGTCTGTCGCCGTGTGCGACAATAAAGAGTGTGTTTCAAACACAAGCTCTTCCAACCAACCACGGTAATTGAACTTCTAACTTTAACTTTCTGTCAGCGTGAAACGGCCAGAGAAGCTCCAGGAGAGGGGCAAAAATTAATCGGAGGTCAATCTCCAGGAAATTTATGGAAAAGAGCTGCGACAAACAATAGACGATATGGGTCTGGCAGTTTGGCGTTCGAGCAGCGGTATCGATTTCCTGTCCATGCCACTGGCGTTAACGTTGAAGATAAATCCAAGGCCGGTCATGTTCGCGCCCCGAGACGGGTGGGTATGCGGGGCCTGGAGAAGCTCGCTTAAATCACAAAAACATTCCCGCCCCTCCACTGGAAGTGAGTGGTGAGTGGTAAGGTGGCTGTCGACAGTAGAGTGGAACGCTAATATCTCGGATGGCGAGGTTTTATGGAAATTTCAACTTCACGAGGGAGGTGGCGACTAAGACCAGAAACACTTCGGTATTCAAAACTCTACAGACACACGCGCCTTCCCCCACGCAGAACACAGACATGAATTCACAAGGCAGGTTGGAGCTCGTTCAGGGATCATGAGCTCGGAACTGTACATCAATAGCTGCTTAGGGCCCTAGATCCCTCAAGGAGATAACAAGGAGTGAGGAATGGAGAGCACAATGAACGTTAGGCCCAATAGCTTGCCCCGTAAACCTTGACGTGGTGAATCATCAAGATAATAACGCATTTCCTTTCAGAGCACATGAAGAGAATCAGTTTGAGCTGACGAGAAACGTGGAACGTATTGTTTTATATGGGTTTGGTTCGACTGTACCAAGGGGTGAAGTGACCACACAGAGAATCCAGATATGAACCAGAGCCTTCAGATTCAGGAACTTACAGGTTAAATTTAATGTCGTCTTAAACGACAGGTCTCAGGTATCGTACGGAGATTGCAACGGCTGACGCTACGAGTCATCGTCTGGCAGTCGTCCATGGTGCACTTCCAAGAGTCATTGGCAGATGACGGCACCAGCTCTGAAAAAAAAAAGATGGAAGAAAAGGAATTGAGAAACAGCAAAAAACAATGGCAAGTATAGGGAATTCTCATTTGCCTTAACGTGGTGAAAAAAACAAAACGTGTTAACTTCTTAAAACACACACACACACACACACACAT